TTGTTTACAATCTTTTCTTGTCGAGAAACAGTAGAATTTTGGTAAGTCTTGGTCCCTTGCGGTCTAGAGGCTATCAGAAGTTAAGCCACGATACCTCCAAAGAGCTATAGCTATAATCAACATGCGTTAAATTGTTTTCAGTAGTATAGCTTGTGTTGAAGACAAAACTGGTTTTTATAGCCAAGAAGCTAGCTAGTGTCTTTGTACGTGCGAACACAAGTTATACTTGTATATTATATTTAACAGAAATGGTTTGGTTACTGTTTCTGATATTAATCGACTGTACCTCGAGCTCTGCATAGGAAATGCCCTAATAGACCAAGTTTTAGTGATGACTCACTGCGGCTATATGCTTTTACTTGATGAGCTAATTTTTTTATTTTATTTTTTTATTAATGATCATTAATGATGCAAAACAGCTATTAAAATCTCTTAATTTGGGAATGAAAGAATTATTTAAACTTTTTTCTTTGTTTTTTTTTGTTTTTAGCGAATTTTATGGGGCTATTGCATTTTTTTTGTTGTATTTTTTAAAATTTTAGATTATAATAAAGTTAAATTATAAGTTAAGATAGTATAAATATACTTTGAAATATATAAATATAGTTTAAAATTGAATAAATAAATATAAATTTCTTTTATCTAGTATATTTAAAGTAAAAAAAATAAAGTTGTTGTTTATGTTTTACATATTGTTTGTTCTTTTAATTAATACTGCTGAGATTGTTGAAGTTGAACCTACCATGATGATTAGGTCTCGTTTGGACAAGTTGTATACTTGAAATTTTAGGTTTGGCCGGTATGTGCCTATTTTAAACAAAAATGGACAAATTACCAAGCATTATCCTGGTGGTATCTATCTTCAAAAGTTTTATAGTACCAGTACTACATCTCGTTATATGAATGTGCATAAGCCTAAAGGCGCAAACACCAAGCAACCTCATGTGACAAGAAACAAAAGAAAAAAGGCTGTAACAAAGAAAAGATCAAGAACTCGCAAGTCACGTGGTGAAATCATTTTGTCATTTGATATATGAATAGCTATTTAATCAGATTGTAATGATAGTGATTCCTTTCAGGAATTGCCGATATTTTTTGTTGTATTTTTTAACATAGCCAAAAAATCTTCAACTATCTATATTTTAAAAAAAAAACATAAATATATGTATGTGTTATTGTATAATAAATAAATTTTTAAATAAAATATAATATATTAAAGAAAGATATAATTTAAATTTTTAAAAAAGAAGCAATGTTGTCTAATAAACCTCCTAAAAAAAAGAAGCAACAGTTAAAAAGCTCTGATATTACTGCTCCGGGTGATAATTATGAATATAGGTATTCTGGCGTGGTTGCTTCTTCCAATACTGCCATATCAAAGTATACGAATTATACAAATGCAAAAACTGTCAAGACCCTTGTGGCTAAACAAAAGGAGATAGTAGAAACTTTGACAACTCAGCAAAATAAATCAATACAAAAATTGAATAATGATAATGCGAACCTTATTAAATCTATAAGTAATGATCAGAAAAAAACTGTAAAAAATTTGACTAATTCACATGAGAAGACTATCAAGAATCTAAGCAATAATCATAAAGAAGTCATTAATAATTTAAGCGATAACCAAACAAAGGTGGTAATGGGTTTGAGCAAAAATCATGCTAATATTGTAAAAACTATGAACAATAATGAGGTAAAAAAATCAAAAGATACGCATGATGCATATGGAAAGGTTATTAACTCCATGTAGACCAACTATAACAAGAAGTTACAGAGTTAGGACGATTTGATCAGGATGCTGGCCGTCAGTAATATTAATGTGACAAATAAGTTGTTAGACCATGTAACTAGTACTAGTAAGGCAAAAAGTGCCTCAGAGGATAATATGGTAAATTAGTTGTTGGGTTATTTGATGAATAGTAATAATAATAAATCAAAAAAAAATGATTTAGATGAATTTAAGAAAACTTTAAAACTTTTGAATAAGGAGCAAACACAGATATTACTTAAAAAGATTGATAGTTTAGGAGTAAAGAATAGTGATCCTGAATTGTATAAAATGATTCTTGAGAATATAAAGCTTTGAGTTTTTTTTAAATAAAAGTATAAATACCTTATTGGTTGTTATTTTTACTAAAACAAATATCTAATTTTCTTTTGTACATTATCTATATTAATTTCAATATCTGCTATTTACTTTTTATTTTTACTGCATCTGTTGTGTTTTACCAACTTTGCAATAGTGAGTTGATTGATTTCTTGTTTATCTTAAAAAGCTATATTACACTTTTGGCTGTAAATATTTGTTTAACAATTCAGGAAACCATTAGGGCATTAGATGCTTATGACGATAAAACTATTTAAATCTGGTGCACACAAAGAGCAAAAAAGTAACTAAGAAAAAAGTTTCAACAATCAAGAAAAATTAGCAAACTAAAAATATAAAAAAATCAAAGATAGCAAAAAAACAGTTACTGGTAAAAAGAAACCCCAAGCACTTGTTGCGGTAAAAATATATTATAAGCAAATAAAAAGTTGTATCGTTGGCAGCATCTGAACCAAGATCTAAAAAGGTTTGCTCAATTGGAACATGCATAGTTGGCGATGAACCATCATATAATGCATGGAAGCAATCTCGACCTTCTAATTCAAAGGTTGATCGAATAAATTTGGGTCCTATGATTTCTAATAATAAGACACAAACTTGGCCTATAATGATATGCTTTATAAGCGATTTTGGTTTTGGCATTTGCTACAACAAAATGATAAATGGCTTTTGACTCGTCTTGTTCTTTCAGACATTTCAATTCATATTAGATTCACCTCTATTCATACTGGGCAAATTGGTAATTTGATTAGTATTGCTCCTTGGGAGCAGATGCTTCTCCCTTCTACATAACCAGTCCAAAATGATGATGAAGAAGAACAGCCTCCTCAGCAAGCTGAGTTAAGACCCGATCAATTAATAGATCATTACAAGTTATTTTCAGTCGGGAGGAGTACTTTGTTGACTCCATTATTATCAACGATGCGATTACATTTTTACTTAGTTCATATTTGTGATAAGGCATTAGCTAAAAAATCTGTTTGAAATATTGTACCTGATGATGTGTTTTATGATGTTGAAAATTTGGATGATCCAAAGATTAGAAATGATAAGTTAGATGTTTTGGCCTATCATGTGGGAGAGATTGAGTGTGATAACATGGGTTGTTTGTTGAAAAATTAGAATTTCTATATGTGTTATAAATTTCCAAAAGATGAGATGAAGGTGTGTAAGCTTGAGGAAGAGGGTGAGGGTGATAGCATCATGTTTGATACCACAAATTTTGCATTTATTATCATGGTTGACTATATGCCTGGATTTTTCAAGATGTGTAAACTTCGATTCAAACTTCCTAACAATGATGGAAGGTATATATCTAATCAGATATCTTATTTGTTTGGGGAACAATTTTTATTTTCAGCAGGACAGACTGGCATACCTGTTTATATAAGCGATAGGTCAATTGAGATTGCTTATCATTATGATGAGTTATTTGAGGGTAAGATGGAATTGGGCAGATCTCTTATTAAACAGCTTAGAGAGGAATTTACCATTATATTAGTCAATAATAACAATAATAATTAGGGTGATCAAGTTGGCAATATGGATGAGGACAATTAGTTTTTATTATTTTTAAAAATATATAAATATCATGTTTCTCTTTTTTTATTAATAAACAATATTATCTTAAATTTTAATGTTAATACAATGAGTTGTAAGTATAAATTTGGTTCAAATAAATATGTTTCTTGTTGTTATTATGAAGAACAAAAAAAGCAATTAAGTTATCGTAAAGGTTATGAGGATTCAGAGATTGACTTGACAATGGCATTTGAGTATACGGTAGAGCAGTTTTTTCAGGAAAACTCTAAATTGTTAGGCATAAATAGTCAACCAAAGGATCCTGAAAATATCAATCGGCCAAATATTCCTGAAGATGTTGAGATGGATGATTTTGACGAAATCACACTAACTGATAATAAAGAACAAATTGATAAATCTGAACAAATAGATAATCCATTAGAACCGATCCCAACTCCAGTTCTAAATTCTGAACCATCTATAGAAAAAAATGAGTTATACAATTAATTAAGATGCGAGATAGAAGCAATTATGCATGAAGATGCTGTTAAGCTTATTGATGGAAAAGATATTTTTTTGAAAATTGACGATTCTAGGTTAACACCTAGATTGAAAAATGATTTACATATGCTTCGACATGAAAAATTAGCTCGATTGAGGTAGAGCATTACAATCGATATTCTAATCTGATTAATAGTACAAATTCCATTATTAAGCTGAATGCTTTACATACAACCATTGCCGATGACAAAGTGTTATCATTGGAACAGATACCTTCTCTTTTAAAAAGGATTACCAATAAGATATCAGAAATTTGTCAGCGAGAAGAATATGACCACATCTGACAAGGTATACTCAATGAAAATGATGTAGTCAAAGTTGATGTTGATTGGAGGGATGAAATAATTTCTGTAAAATATTTATCTGATACACAGAAGAGTGAATTGGAACGTATAAGAAGTGAGCAAAAGTAGAATTTACATAATATGCAGAAATATCAACAGTTCAAGGGTGAGCTTAAACAAGCCCTTATTAGTGATGTAGTAGATGGGAAGATGTATGATATATTGATCGAGAATAATATATTTTTGAGTGATTCTCAAAAGGAAGAGCTTCAATGTCTTCGAAAAGAGCAATTGAGCAAGTTAACCGATAAGACATTTAACGATCTTAAAAATAGTATAAGAAATGAACATATATTGAGCAGATTGCAAGACGGGGGTATTACGACGAGTGTATTGCTGAGATACGAGATAAATTTCTATCTGATGATTTAAAGAAGAATGATTTGAATATTTTACATCATCATAGCTTGGATATGCTTCAGGCCAAAACTGAAGACCAGTTGTATGATAGCAATTCTGAGCTAATTGATTTGTATCAAGATTTACAAGATTTTGATAATGACTCTGCCCTCGCAAAAGATATATTGGGATTAAACCAGTCCTTGCTGACTGGAGATCGTAATGTTAATGATTTAGTGAATAAGAGGAAGATTAAGTATGCTAATGAAAAATATAATAATTTTGAATTTGCAATTAATCTTGAGGAGAAATCTGATGAATTAGAAAATACATAGAAGAGAAAAATAGATTCTGAGATTGATCAGCAATATCTAACATTACTATGTTCGCTTGAGAAATTACATTAGTTGCGTTAATATCGAATAGATGTATTAAATACTCAACTAGTTAGAAAGAGACCTCCACTTGCTGATCCTCTTCAAGAATATTTTCTTACCAGAATAACTGATAGAGCTAGAAAAACTCGTAATTATGCTGAAAATGTAAATGCACAGATTTCAGCCATAGTAGATAAGTATAAGAAAACTTTGAGAAGGGATGATAGAAGGCAGTTAACATCACGCATTAAAATTGATCATGTGAAGAAAATGATCAATGATATGTATAACAAAAGTAGAAATGGAAAATCATTATTAGATGTGTTTTATGATATTTGGGTTTTTGGTGTAGAGGATAAAGATTTATTGGCAAAATCTTTTACAAAAAAGTGTATTGATGAGGCTAGAGAGTTATCAAAAAATATTGATAATTACGTGTGGCTTATTTCAAAGAAAAGAATTGAGGGCACTGAGCGAATTCGCCTTTCACCGAATCTGAATTATCAAATAATCAAGTATTATCCAAAGCTTATTAAGAATATTGGATTTTCTCTAAATAACCCATTGGGGTTCATGCTTGAGATTATTGACAATAAAGAAAATATTACTGTATTTTTGCATAATAATGCTCACCTGTGCATTATTTTGAGTATATGCGCGTTATTTCAAGTACACGCATGAGCGTTATTTTAAGACAATTAAAAAATTTTATATAATTCTTGTATAAAAATAAACAACTAGATTTAGTACTAAGTAACCTTCCTTCGTGCTTTAACAAAAGTTCTGAAAAACAACTTTGTTGAAGTTCAAAGATTTACTTAGTACTAAATCCAGTTCTAAAATATTTTTAAATCTTACTATAAATAAACATTCCTTACTATGGGGTGCACGCTATTTTGGGACACGTACGAGCGTTTTTTCGTAACTATATATATTAATTTTAGGGGGCATGATTTTCGAAATAACGCTTATGAGCGTTATTATGCAAAAATACGGTAAGTTAATTATAGCCGAATATAAAAAATCATTGCAAAATCCTAGTGAGACCTCAGCAGCGAATTTTCAGAAAATTGAGGAGACATTAGTTTAGGGGATTAGTAAATATGATAAAGATGATACCAAGAAAGAATATTTGCAAAAGGTATTCGATATTTTAATTTCAAGAAAACTTAATGATATGGAGGATGATGATGATATTGATAATATGTTTGATTCATTTGATTTTTTGTTTTAGTATTTTAATATGATATTTATTATATAATGGTTATAATTAGTGTATCCCACAAACATTAATAAAAAAAATATTTGACATAGTATAAATTCAAAAATACGAAATGTTTGTATAGTATATAAGTAATCTAACATTTTTAGATTAAAATCACCAAATTCTTCAATTTGTTTTTTAATATATCTTTATAATTGATTCATTGCTAATGTAAAGAATATATTGTTTAGCTAAAATAGATCCATAATTATGTCAACCAAATCCAAGATGTATTTT